TATTATAAATTTACAAAGAAAGAAAATCAAGGGAATTTATAATATTGGTAAACATACAGCAGAAATTTTACGTGAAGTAATATCAGGAACCAAGAAGGGAGTGATGGTACAAGAAGTGATTGATGATTGTAGATTTATAGGTAAAAAATTGATGGATGCACAACCAACAATGTTAGTAATTGGAAATGTAACAAGAAGAGTATTATTTATTATTAGAGATGAATTTGGACAATTAATATTAACTAGAAAGAAATCCACAAATATTGTAACAAGTGGAAATTTATCAAATTTACTTGAAATGAAAAGTAATATTGATTATGATGAACCATTTGAAAGTGGATTAAAATTAAGAATAATTGAAGGAGTTAATGAATTAATTGGAGAAATGGAAGGTTTATATAAAGATATTTGTGATTTAGCAACAGAACATATACAATCAAATGAAGTCATTTTAACAATTGGATTATCACATACTGTTGAATTCTTCCTTTTAGCTGCTGCACAAAAAGGTAAAGAATTTGATGTTATTGTAACTGAAAATGCACCTTCTTATTCAGGTCATAAAATGGCACTTAAATTAAGTAAGGCTGGTATTAGAACAACTTTAATTTCAGATGCTGCTATTTTTGCAATTATGGATAGAGTTAATAAGGTTATTGTTGGTACACATGCTGTTATGGCAAATGGTGGTCTTGTTTCTCCAACTGGTACTCATCTTGTTGCTTTAGCTGCAAAAGAAAAATCAATTCCTGTTGTTGTTTGTAATGGTTTATACAAATTAACTCCACTCTATCCTTTAGATCAAGATTCTTTCAATGATAGACATTCTCCTTTGGAAATTATCAAATTAGAAGATGGTACTCTATTGAGAAATGTTCATGTTGTTAATCCTGCTTTTGATTACGTTCCACCTGAATTGGTCGATTTATTCATTACAAATGTTGGAAGTCATAGTCCTTCCTATGTTTATGCTCTCTTAGCTCAATATTATGATGTTAGAGATTATGTTTTAGAATAAATTCTTAATATTCTATTATTATTAAAAAAGATAGAACATTTATTTGTTGTTGTTTTTAAAAAAGAAACAATATACTATGACATTACATTATAATATTGGTATTAGTATTAAAAAAACATGTGTGTCTGTGTGTAAAATTGTGTGTAAATCAGAATTAAATAAGTAAAGTAACAAAATCAGATGAAAAATCAATGATTGGACATGTTTTTTCAAAAGTTAAAGAAGTCATAAAAGCATCAGATGCTTCTTCATCATCATTAAAATGTTCAGATAAAACTTTACCCAAATGATACCAAGCCAAATGATTTGTTGGATTGATACGTACAGCATTTTGTAAATAATTTCTTGAAAGTGTTGTTTGTTTTTCATGTTTGTAAAAAATAATACCCAATCTTAAATAGGCAATTTCACAATCAGGATCATTAATTAAAGCAGCTTCATATTCAATAATTGCATCTTTAATTTTACCAGAATCTTCAAATATTCTACCTTCACATGAATGAATTAAAGCATTTGTTTTTTTAAGTAAATTAATTAATTCTTGTTGTATTTCATCTTTTTGTATTCTACCATTATTTAATAATAAATCAATTATAGTCATATAATCACGTGATGTTTTTTGAATTGGTTCAATTGATCCAATTAATTGTTGTTGTTGTTGTCTTTTTAGGTTGTGAAGCAGATGAAATTGGTTGAGTATTATTTGGTAAAAGTGTTGAAACTTTTGATGATTCAATTTCTTCAATTTCTTCAACTAATTGAATCATTAAATCTTTAGCTTTAGACATGTTAAATGTTGCATCATCAAGTAATTTCTTTCTTCTCAATGCTTCACTTATAAATATATAATAATTTATAATATCAATCTTTTTTTGTCTATATTCTACTATGGATATTAATTTTTTATTTTGGATTTTGATTATTATTTAATAATAAATTATTAGTATTATTAGAAGTAGTATTAGTAGTAGTATTATTTAAATTATTTAAATTAAAATCCAATCTAGTAGTATAATTATCTAAATATTTAAATAATTCATCTGATAATTTAGAATAAGTTCTAACAGATTTATTAGAATCTAATGATGCTGATGATAATATATTATTATTAATATTAATATTACTATTAATATTAATATTATCAGATTGTTCAGATGATTGTAAAGAAATATTAAAATTAAAAGATTCTAATAATTCTTCCATACGTGCATATAATAATTTTAATTTTAAATCATTTGGATATTGTTCTAAAATAATTTTAATAATTTTAAAAGATTGTAAATAATTTTGTTTTTCACTTGATGTAAATAATAATGCTAATAAAATCCATGATTGTTTTTCATCTTGATTTAATGAAATTGATTTTTTAATATATAAAAATGATTCTTTTAATTCTCTCATTTCACTATAAATTAATGATAAATGATAATTTAATTTATAATCATTTGAATCATATTCATTTACTTTTAATAGAATTTTAATTGATAAATTTAATANATTATTCTTTTCTGTCATGG